TCCTTCATTTATAACAACAAATAAATCATGCCAATTCATAACAATAGCAAACACACAGGATCCGCAAACAAAGTCATACCAAACGCATACAGTCAAGTATGTAAAATTACGTGTTATGTTTCTCAATAAGCATACTTGACCATACTTGTGTTCTCACTTACCTGTTTGACATCATTTTCCGTTGCCGGAGACCAGCTCCAATACTCAAGAACAGAAGTACAGAGGAGGGTAAAAATCCTCGGAAGCCATTCTCACCCCAAATATCAATGATCGTTTGCATCCTCACTGAACGAGACCAATCCCATGATTCATTATGTTCGTTTTTGGACGGCGAGTCACCAAGACCACAAGTCCGCCTTTGTGTTCTTGGTATTGTAGTGCTGGTGAGGTGGCTCCACATAGTGGAACCCAGTAAGCATACTGGGAGTTGTAAATAGCCCCTGTGTTGTTGTTAATGTTGATACTTCTTTTGTTCCCATAACAAATTGTTTCTAAATGTCACACCATTAGATGATTGCTGATTCTCGTGGACAGCAGAGTGGAGGGTCTAAGGGTTAAGAATCAATCTCCTCTTGATCTGGAAGTTCATGCTTGTTCATGGCCAGTAGCGTTGGAAGAAGTTTGATTTTGGTGAGGGGGCGATTTCTATCGTAACATTGCAATGGGCACATATGTAATAGCTATATAACATGTAACAAAGATTTATAAGTAATTTTTGAATATTACATGCAGATTTCTTCATTTAAAATAAGACTAACACTGTTTACGGTACAGTTTGACAACTAAACATATGCAAAGAAACATCTTATCCTTATGATAAAATGAGTTAGTCTGATACAGAACAACAATCTTCGTTAGGTACAGTATATGTTATATCCTCGCGCTCTGCCTGTTTGTGCCTGTCCAATATGCAGGGGGCAGCATGTGGATTAGTGGGGTAAGCCTGTATGCCTGTCCAATATGCATTCACTGAGAGGTTTAGCCGAATAAAATGGAAAGGTTGCTGGACGAACCCTGGAAAAAACAAAAAAAACGTGCTATTGAGATCGACAGCTAATTAAGAGTGGTTGGGGGGCTTTTACAATGACTGAAAATATAACGGCCTGTGGAGAACAGAAAAATGGTAAACGCAGCCAGCTTTTCTCCTGTCACTGAGAAAGTTGATGCAGCATGAGGAAAGAAGACCCAAAGTCATATGTACCTTACTCTGTCGGCCTTGGTGATTTGACACGATGACTTTTTATTTGAAGTACAAGTGTTGTACATGAGTAGCAATTGATACCATTCATATAGAGTTTCATTTTCTTTTTTTTTTTACATTCAACTTCCTTTCAATTTCTTTTAATATTTCTATTAATTAAACATAATATACAGTATCTAGTTAAGAACAGTCTTGATGCTGTTGACATGGAAAGAAATACTATTACAGCCAAAACTAACCATGAGGCCAAACGCTGTTTGCATGCTATTTAATCTTCCACACTGTGTTCTGATAACTAGTTGATGTGGAATAAATGAGTCAGAATTTACTGAAGTGGTTTATTACTTTCAAGAACCGAAGAACCCATTTGATCCTGAACTGTATGATTTCTACATTTTCTAATAGTCTCTAAATAGCATTTATTCTGCCCTCGACTACCCTTTCAGTTTATTAAACATAATATGAAACATTAATACATTTTAATTGAAAAATGCTTCAGTGACTGTATAATATGCCGTTATTGTGGTTCCTTCAACCGACTAAGTATCTGTACACAATTCATTGGTGAGGAAATGGCTGGCACTATTTACTCTAAATTTATTACAATGTAAATGTATAATTTCGTAAATCAGCTACAGCAAATCTGGATCCACGAAGAATGAAGCCTCAATAAATGAACAACCTCATCACTACATTCACTTAAGAGCACTGCTACAAATATTAACTTACCGTTCTTAGGGCAGTATATGTATATACAATCTCCAGGCACTTTCATTATAGGCAAAAAACCCATTAACGTATAAATTACTGTGATGTATTACTCTGAATATGCAAACAGTTCCTGATACAGTATTCAAAAAACGTATTTCCTTATCTTTTCTTTGTGGCTGCTTTCAGGGTTTGAATAGCTTAAATACCACATTCTTTGGAGGTATGACATGAATCACCAAGGCTACTATGAGTTGTAGGGATTGTATTTTCTGCTGATTTGAAGATGGACTTTCACTTGATAGCTAGATAGCTAAATCTAATTACTGTTGTGCTGCCTCAATAAGATAGTTATATATGTAGGTTATTCAGTGCTGGTCAACCCACTAGGCAATACATGCAGCCATCTAGGGTGCCCATCCTCTGACGCGGTGCTGACTTAGCAAGTCAATTTCACTTTGTTTCCAATAGGGGGTGCCAGTGCAGAACCTTGCCTAGGACAATGGGTACTGAGTGCATTTCAAAAGAGGTAAAGTGGAACTTAAAGAATTACTGTGTAAATGAAACAGATTTTCCATAACATTTCCAGATTTCTTTTTTGTTCATTTTTGGGTACAAAATTTGTCCAGTTACAGAGAGAGGAATATTACCATAGAATTATCGTCCATTAAGATAATTATGAAACGTAAAGCAATGTGAACCATGCAGAATATTCTTAGGGAGTTGTTACACTGGGTTCTGTAATCTGAAATAGGGGAAATGATTTCAGGCTATTGGGTCGGTAGAAGTTCAGCAGAGATTGGTTGTTTATACTTGATTAAACTGGATATATGAATATCATCAACAACCTGCATATTCCTTTTTCTCTGAGCATTACACACTGCTAATCTGAACTTGGCTTTTGCTACTAAAAGTTTTAGTTAATTCCCTAAACTTCAAAACAGGACATTAATATTCATTTTTGCAATATTGCCACCTTTGGTGTGAGAATCATTTTTGGTTGGCTGTACTTTTCCAATCAGAAGATGTTAAGAATGATCACCCAAGTGGATTCAGACAGTGATGCCAAATTTTTCTGCAGAGGTAAGTATCTCTTTCACATATTTAAGCTTGTCCAAGGTTACTGCTCTGATAGCTTCTACATTTTTGTTGCCTTTGGTACTTCCCATTGAAAACTCATATCATTAATTAAAACACATTATTAAGGAAGTTATAATGGTGCTGAAAGTTTACTAAATCCTAAGAGTTTACTAGATAATTGACCACATATTAAACAAAAAGAAAAACTAGTTGGATTAAAATATAAGTAGCCATACATTTCATAAGCTATTGACATTGTGTCAACGTATTATGAGGAAAGAGACCAATCCATTCCATACACCAGAGGGGGAAAATTCAAGTACAAAAAGTACAAATCGAGACCAATGTTTTGTTTCAATCAATCAGTTGAGTATAAAGAATCACATTCACAGAGTACACAACTGGTTGGCTGAAACAAAATTTTGGCCTGGATTTGTACTTTCTGAACCGGAACTTTCCACCTCTGTCATACACACAGTAATTAGCAAAACAGATTAACTCTAAAACAATCATTAACAGTTCGATTTTAAGTACATTGTACCATCCGTAGCCAGAACCAAAAATACACTGTTGATGATCTGCCCAAAGGGGATATTCTGCCGTCACATACGAGACTAATCTGCAGCATATACTAAATGAAACAAATGTGAATGTAGTCACTAGACTAATCTTACAGAATTACAAACATCTGAGAGCAAGGAAAGGTACCAAAATAGTACCTGGCAAGACAAGGCGTGAGCTGTTATGAATAACCAAGCACTTAACGGCAAAATAAAATTGATATTTCATATTTACAAATGCATATGTATGTCACACTTAGTAATACTCCAACAAAGACTTTAAAGTTTGGAAAGAGCTGTACTCAGGAGAAAATGAGTCCTTAATCAACAGAACACAGCATTTACATTCACTGAAAAGCAGGAATCATTTCTATACACAGGAAGTCACAGTACATTGCATGGAACACTAATATTATGTGAATAGCATGAGTGAAAAGCATTACTGCCTTCTGTATCTATGCATGGCCTGTGCTTTTATATACTTGGAGTCAGGAGGGTCCCATGGTGCTCACAGTGGTGTAGCTAAACTTGGACAGTGACGCACCCATAGCGATGACATCATCATCGGCCTCACGCCGACGCCGGCACGGCCTCCAGCAGCAGGTGAAGGTGGCCAACAGGGCCTTGCGGAAGCGCTTGTTCATGAAGCAGTAGATGATGGGGTTGACGCAGGCCGAGGTGTAGGACAGCAGATGGATGAAGGAGATGGGCGCCCCCGATAGGGTTCGGTGGGCGGACTGCAAGTCGAATGCCTTCCAGGTGTTGACGGAATACAGGGGCATCCAGCAGATGAAGAACATGGCGACGATGACGATCAGCATGCGGATCACTCGCTTCTTGGCCGTGAGTTTCGCCTCTGAGGTGTTGCTGCGTGGTCGGTCTGCATTGGAGGCTCTGGTGGCCGTGAGTACTGACATCTCCACAACATTGGGCCTTTTGGTGACTTGAATGTAACAGCCGTCGTCATCATCACTTCCAGATGATACTGTACCACTCGGGCCATTCCTAAGCCCTAGACAAGAATAGGGAACCGGGTTACAGGTAAGAGAAACAGGGGTATGGTCCACCACGCTAACATTGCTAAAGCTAAAGCATGCTACTGCTAAGATACCCTCTATGACATAAATTATTCAGCTATTTTTTATTTTTCAAATTATTTGTTTTTTTCCAGGGAATATTTGGTCCCGAGGCATATTTTGGAGTAAATATTATGACCGCAAATATTAAATCGAAGAACTAAAATATGTTTATAAAAGGTTGATAGCTGAGTTACAAAAATGAGTAACTAAAGAAAGACTTATTTAAAATCTCAAGAATTGCTGCAGAAAATTGAGAAATATAATAGGCTTTTATAATAGTTCAGAGAACCTAAGAAACAGATCTTTGAACACATAAATCAGCTTTAGTCATACAAGAAATAATTTCTTAAACTTTTCTAAGTGATATGTAATTGTTAAATGGAATATTAATGACTTTAAGAAACTAGTTCATTATTTTTTTCCAGAAATGTGTGTGGTACTAAATGTTTATTGCAATATATTTCAAATAAATAAATCCTCTTGTAACAGCCAAGCATTGACATTTCCTGAAATGGGGTCACTTGAAAAAAATAATTTAAATGTAGTAAATGCAGTTTTATTATTCATTATCAGGAAAACAAAAACATGAATTGCATAAAATCATAGAAAGATGATAGTATGTGTGTGCTACATCAACAAATGCTCCTTAGGATTTATATTTTTTGTCACGCTGAATTTTATGTCAACTAATATTTACCTATCCAGCAATGTATTTTATAATCTCTTTAGATATTACAAGGCAGACTATGTAATAATCAAATCAATCAAATTTTAATATATGTTTCTATTTTTATAAACAATTTCTACATTCTCTATATTTTAGGAAATACTGGTTTGTTATGTTAACCTACTCTGGTTATTTTTAAACTTAATCGGATTAACCCGTTTACTGGCCTCAGTGAGCCAGTAAATTCTATCTGCTAATATCTCTGAATGATTAAATCTGTTCCTCACATTATCAACCTGCCCATATTGATTTGATAGCGATGCTTTAGAGGACAATTTAGAGGTTTCACAGCAATGTACATGGTACAACACCATGCCAACTGTTGCTACGGTTACTGTACTATACCAGATTGTCATGAGGTTGGATTAAACAAGAAAGTATGCTTTCTTGTTGCTTATGACTTGTATATGATTGGTGAAAACAAAGTCCTTAATGGAAGGATGCTCTTTCATAATAGGACTCGGCTATAGGCATTATAACAGGCAGAACGTGTTACATGATGCTTACAGCCTTACTTTCCGTTATTTGTCACTCTAGCCCACACTGACACATGTGCAGCGCATCCCCAGAGCGAAACGTTCGATAAACTTCTGAACTTACCACCTGCATGGCTTTTTTGGCCGAGCTCAAACTGCACTCCCCGGTACAGCTCCCTAGAGATCAGTCCATAAGCGATAATCATCACAACCCCGGGCATGAAGAACAAGACAAACAACAGGAGGATGTACCTGAAAAAAAGAAGAAAAAAAAAACGTTTAAAGGGATGAAGGTGGGGGGGTGGGGGGTGAATTCTCCAGAGGTGCTCAGCAGTGGGTCAGTATTAGGAACTCTGTGGAACTGTACAGTATGTGAACTGTCAGATACGAGAAAGAAAGCAAACATTATTGTATTATGAATAATACAACATGGAAAATGATTTATAAGCAGTGCGTTTGATGCAGGTGCTTATTTTGGGGTGTTCTTACTGTACACACACGTAATTACCCACAAGTACTTGTTCACACAGTGATATCATTACTAGTGCCATCAAGACTACTTTTAAGTTACCTGTTATACTATCCTGCAATTTTGAAAAAAAAAAAATCCAGTTTATTCCCATGGAAAATTTCCAACTTTGAAAATTCCCAGAATTCTGTAACCCTAGCTAATATTCAGCTAAATTTTCAGAAGGAATCTTGCCAGATTGTATGACAGATACATTCAAAATGGGCAGCGGCTCTGCCACTCAAACTGCTCTTTCTAGCACTTTAAATTCGAGCATGTGACAAGCTGAGCTGCTTGGTATATATATTTCAGTGAGGCTTCATGGAGAGACTGGGACAGGTGCACCTTAATCACTGAGCGATCTTAAGTTGACAAACAAGGAAAATCAGGAGTGATACAGGGAGAAGAAACACATTTTAGTAGCTCTGCATGCTGACCAGCCTCACATCCAGGGTTCCCTGCCGTGTTTTTTTTTCCTTCAAGTGCAGAAACACAGCCTTCATTTAGCCTTCAACACTCAAAAGGCAGAGAGGTATGGTGCAAGCTTTTCATCAACCATTTGTCTGATGAATTACAAACCCATTACAGACACAAAAGACTGCTGAATTAATTAGGGTCTCCAATAAAGAGGAATTATTCAGCAGATGATGCAGGAAGTGACTTCACAGACACCCAGAATGGAAGATCGGCCCGTCAGACCCTTAGCATGGACTGAGTTTAAAGCCTTAAAGGAGCTTCAGAGGGAGGCCGCTGGTGTCAGCTCTCAGCCTGCTCGTCAGCCTCATTGCAATAAGAATAAACAGAGATACGCATCTTCTTCGGACTTGCTGATTATAAGACCATTTTAGCCCGAATTCGCCCTTTTCCAGCAGCCAACTGACATCAAATAGTTGTGATAACATGCTTGGTTGAACAGAGACTTTTGCCCAGCAACACATAAAAATGGATAAAAAATCTTCTATGTTAATTATGCCTCATTTCATGATTCTATTCTGGCACCTCAATAAAAGCTTTGAAGTCTTTTATTTTAAAGAGACCCCCCTTTTTTAAATAAATATTGTTTATTAAATGGCAGGTTTTTTTGTCTTTACCTGATGGGCAGAAGCAGGTGTCGAATAAGTATATGTGTCTATGATACCCTCTTCACACCAATGTGATTTGCTTATTTCCCCAGAAATATCCAATAACGACGCATGGATGTTCAGTGACCAGTGCATGTCAGTGCATCAGTATAATCAATGTGTTAATCATCTCTTGCCAAAAATCAACTTCTTCTATATATGAAAATATTATAAGATAGGAAATAGTGTAAGAAAAACATTATATAAAACACAACATATAAAGGTCTTAGCTGATTATTCATTAAGCAATAGACTAAAATATTACAAAGCAAGTTTGATTCCAATGGTATCAGATTTAATCTGGTTATATGGCTTATTTGAATTGCTTTATAAATATAATTTTCCAACAACAAAGATAAATTTTAATGAATGCATTGACTTCACAAATTTCATTAATATTTATATCATTATACAATGAATTAATATACTTTAATTACCATCAAAGTTTTTAATGTTGTCCAGTATCTAGTCCTTACAGATTTCATAAGGGTGTCTCACTTAATGTATGTTAATAAAGCAGTTATGTAGGGACTCAAAGACGTACCATGACTGTTCCACCTGGCTCTTCGGCCAGCTGAGGCGACACATATGAGCGGTGATGCAATTTTGCTTTTTGAAGGTAACCAGGGTGCTAAAGACTGGATAGGGGATCATGAGGAAGACGGAAAGGAGCCAAGTGGAGGTGATGACCCGGTAGGCGTGGGAACGCGTCTGCCACACGCGAGACTTCAGCGGGTTACAGATGGCGCTGTACCTCTCGATGGCTATCGCGACCAGGCTGAATGTGGAGATGCTCACTGAGATGCCTACACAGGGACAGCATCAAGATTAAAATAAGGACCAACTTTTTGAACCGCGAGGGAAATACTTTCGCATACAGTAGCAAATATGAAGAGCACAAGCAAACAAAGAAATAGTGCAAAACAGACTAAGTGCAAAGACAGTACACATAGTGCATACAAGTAAACATGGGCCAAACTAATTAAAGAGTACACAGATAGAATATGCTGAAAAACAGAGCATTGGAGTATTAAGTAACTGACTACTACTACTATTACAAATAATAAATACTTTATTGTCCTCATGGGGGAAATTGCTTTTATGCCTCCCTGGGATTTAAGGGCCTTGCAGATGTGCTGAGGCTGTGTTTGAACCAGTGACCTTGTGATTACAGGCACACAGACTTAGCCCACTGAGCCACACGCTGCCCCCCTACTAATGATACATTCATCATAATATTTACCACATTTTAGCTAAGGAATACCTGAGCTACTCAGCATGCAGTGCTGAGTGAGGTTTTGTAATCTACCATGCATCAACCCCCCTCCCCCCAGTAATATTCTGTTTATTATACAATAGTTTATTCTGGCATTTTCTCTTTTTAAAATTCACAGATAACATTTCTAGAATAACAATAGTTAAACCCTGTAGTGATTTGTTATATTTTTAGGTTAACTTAGAGAAGGTAGTTAACAAAGGGAATGAAGTGATGTGGTCTATTCATTAAGAGATGCACTTATTGCACAGCTGCTGATAGGGAAAGAGTGGATACAGCCAAGAGGCAAATGCTGACATAATGATATAACGATGCATTATCAGGCCATTTCATGTAAAAAAAAATATCGAATTTAACATAAAAATTCAATGTATCACCCAGCCCTATCTTGAGGAAATTATATATATGTGTGTGTGTGTGTGTGTGTCTTCTAAACATTATTAGTCTTTGCTGAAGGTTTTCAGTTCCCTTCCATTCTGGTGACTTATGGTGATGAAAAGATACAGTGCAGTACCAAAGGCTTTCATGTTTGTCTGGTAAGCAAAAGTGAATAGCCTCTAACATAAAGCAATATCATACATTTATTCTTCATGGTCCTCTAATTTAAAGCTATCTTAGAGTTGTTAAACTGGAGTAGAAGGTCACTCCAACTGAACCAAGACCTTGTAGAGTGTAGACCTTAGATTTTTTTTTTGGCAGAGCTGAGGATGGTCCATTAATTGCAGCTGCAGTGGGAAAGGTGAGTTTGTCAAACCAAAAAATGTGTGGAATTAAGTGGGACTGGCACTGGAAAGCATTTACTGTCATTACAATGTGCTTCTTTCTGACGAAATCCAAGAAGCTGTTCATGGCCATCAAAAAAGTGGCAGACTTTCAGTAGGTTATTTTGTAACATTGTTGGAAAACCCTGTATAAACGGAGCAGGCATATGGTTCACATCGCCAGCAGTAAGTCAAACTTGTTCCTGGTGGCTACTGGTCTCAGCCAGGACTGAGACCAGTACCCACCAGTTCTGTTCATAATTGTTATGAACAGAATTTCTAGGTGTAGCCAAGGGGCAGAGGGGCTCCAGTTTGGGTGCCTCATGGTCGCGTGTTTGCTTTTTGCAGGTGACTTGGTCCTGTGGGCCTCGTTGGGCTGTGACCTGCAGCAGGTGCTGGGGCAGTTTGCAGCTGAGTGTCAGGTGGCCGGGATGAGGATCAGCACCTCCAAGCCTGAGGCCATGGTTCTCCACCAAAGAAGGGTGGATTGCTGAGTCGATAAGGCAAAGCTTTTGATTTACCGGTTGATCTATGTTCCTACCCTCACCTATGGTCATAAGCTCTGGGTAGTGACCAAAAGAATAAAACCACAGATACAACAGGCAGAAATGAGTTTCTTTCGCAGGGTGTCTGGACTCAGCCTTAGAGATAGGGGGAGGAGCTTAGACATTCAGGAGGGGCTCAAAGTAGAGCCGCTGCTCCTCCGCACCAAAAGGAGCCAGTTGTGGTTTGGGCATCTATCTAGGACTGGGATGGGCAATCTTATCCACAAAGGGCTGGTGTGTATGCAGGCTTTTGGGGTAACCTTTAGGTCAGCTGTTCAAACCCAGGTGTGAGGACTCTTCAGCCAATCAGTCCTCTAATTAGTAAACTAGGGAGTTGCAGTGAAAACCCGCACACACAGTGGCCCTTTGTCGATATGATTGCCCACCCCTGATCTAGGATGCTCCCTGGGGAGGTGTGTTAGGCATGTCCAACCGGGAGGAGACTCCGGGGCAGACCCAGGACACGATGGAGAGATGATATCTCTCGACTGGCCTGGGAACACCTTGAAATTCCCCTGGAGGAGCAGGAGGAGGTGGAGTGAGAGGGAGGTCTGGGCATCTCTGCTTAGACTGCTGCCCCTGGGACCCAACTCCGGATAAGGGCAGATAGTGGATGGATGGATGGATGGATGTTAGAAAACCATACATCTAATTTAAACGAATACATTACCATTCTGGCTAAAGCTATATTACTTAGCCATAACCCTGTCTATTGTTGATATTATGTATAGCTCTAATATAAACACAAAAGAAAATTCACAGAACTGCAGAAGTACTGTAGATCTACAAGTCTAGTTAAAATCATCTAAAGCTCTTGGTTACATTGGCAAGAAAAAGCATGTGAATCTTTTGGAATTATCTGTTTTTCTGCATTAGCTCATAAAATGTATGGGATCTAAATTACAAATGCAGATGTAACTACAAATGCAGAGGCCAATGTTCCACACCTTATGTACTCACACAGTATTATTCAGTAACAGTTGAAGATAATTTATATTCTGAAAAGAAAAAAAACTTTTTTCCTTGAAAATGTGTCATAACTATTACACAGAATGCTCAGTACTTCCTTTGGTTAATAGATGATTCATCCACCAATTCAACATCTGTTTACTCATAACCTAACTATGGATGACTAATGAAATATAGTTTTGCTCCAGGATTGAATATCATTTTTCATTGAATTTTTACTAAAAATCACTATAAAATGAGTCAGTTCAAGACAAAATTATGCCATTCAAAGAAAATGTGATGGTAATTTGGAAAGAAAAAAGTTAGAAGATATTATCTGTTGATTTGAGGGAGAAATTCATTATTTAATAAGTAAAATCTCAAAATTATTTTAAAGAGTAAAGTGGCTTCTTTTGGCTGTTACCAAAAATGTCAGTTAATAATATAATTTAAAATAGGTCGGGACCTTGGTGTCTTTTGGCATAACAAGGTCTGTGGCTCAGTTTTTATAGTGTGAATCATCTGGTCTCCTAAAACATCTGTTCTCCAATGTGATGGTGCAAACAGTGTGGAGAACTCACCCATGAAGTAGGTAACGATCTTGCACATGGCGGCTCCGAAGATGAAGTCCTCCAGCAGGTTGGGGATGAGGGTAAAGGGCATGCAGAATATTGCCATGGTCAAGTCGCTGACCGCCAGCGACAGCAGGAAAGAGTTGGTCACCGTGCGCATTCGCTTGTTCACCAGCAGCACCATGATGATCAGCAGGTTCCCAAACACACCCAGTAGGAAGATGAGCGAATAGAGAAAGATCCGCACAGAGTGCATTTCTGGTGAGTGCAGAGAAGGAGCTTGTGAGAGATACAGAAAGCTTGACATATAAAATACAGCATAACTAATGAATCGCATGACTAAACTTCACAGTCAGCTAAATATTTTAACTTATGTTTAATTTTAAATACTGTGAAACCAATAAAGGCAAAAACATTCTCGCTCACTATAGGCAACATCAGTCTTCTCTACAATAATTAATACTGAATAGTTTGAACTAAGGAGCGAAAAAGTACATATCTTTACGTTTAAGATACAATTTACCCAGACTACAAAACTTCATTAACTATTAATGTGCAGTTCACCAATACCACTTATAATGGTCAAATTTGGTGCTGAAATGGAATATATACTGCAAATAAAATCCCAAAATAAACAAAAACCTTTTTTTACATTTTCACAATACAAAACTTAAAAATCATTTCCACAGCACTAGAGTGCCCATCGTTAATGTTGTTGCAGCACATAAACGACGTGTCACATATTACAGTGACATTAATGGCCCGGTCAGCCGGCACCTTTAAGTGGCCTGGTGGTTCTGTGCCCTGTGATGTCATTCTCCGCCTGCTGTGGCCCTATGCTACACAGGATAAGTTCCAGGTAACCCTGTACTCAATAAGCAGTTTGAAAGTGAATATGTTAATACATATGCGTGTGTGGAGTTTGCATGGTCTTTAGTCCCCCCCCCCCCCACAGTCCGTGCTCAGTGATCAGTCCATCAGCTTTCTGTACATAAATTGCACGTCCTCTCGCTACATTGGTTGTAGTTGTTTATTTTAAAATTTCCTAAACTGTTAAAAGGCTGTTCATACAGGCAAGGAGGGATGGACGGATGGATGGACAAGACAGATGGATGAACGCTTGAGTATATAATTATGACTGTATTACTTTAGTTTTTGCTTAGTTATCCTCCAGATTGATGTCTACTCACAATTAGGGATATATAAAATCCTGACATGTGAAAATCAGGTAGAAACAGAATAATCATCAGTAGCTATCAACGGCTAACGACAGTAGTTTTTTTTGGAGAAATAATCAAAATTTGCTTCTGAGCCATTGCAAGATAACTGAAATGTTTAGGTTTGGGCAAACTGCCCTATGTATTCTGACAGTGCATTACCACCAACAACCAGCACCCTCAGCACCCCTATTTCCAGCTCTACTGCTCTGCTGACTGGACAATTTGAACCTGTGACCTTCCAATTACAGCGTCCAAGCCTGCTGACCCACATAATGACTATATTACCGTAGGGATAGGTTTAGAATTTTTTATATGCGTAGTATGTTTGCATTTAATATGTCATATATTTTGTTTGGCCATTTGGTGTGGGGAAGATTATAGGAGAGAGTTTGAGGTGGGGTTAGGGTAGCAACTTAATAATTTAAATGCAGAGGTTAATTTTTGTCAGGTGAACACCCACCTGCCCCCCCCTGGTTCCTATGCCCCTGCATATCTGTTTCTAGACAAACCAATAATTGGGGGAGTGGGTGACAGGGATTTTTGGATAAGTGGGAGAGCGCTGAGTGTTGAGTTATTTCTTCAAAGCCATTTTGGTTGGGTAAATAAAATAAAAGTTAATTAAACTCCACGCCACTAGAGTATTGTTACCAATAAAATATGACAAATAAACTGCTTTTTCTGCATATGTGAATTCTATGGAAAAGACACTTTATTAATTATCATTCTTATATTGCATCTGGGATTTCAAATCCCATCTCTGGCTCTGTATGTGTGAAATATGAATATTATCTGTGGTAAGACTCCACTATAAACTGTGGTATGCAGCTCAGCAGGTTAGTGACCTGTACCTGTGTCTGTACCTGCATATTATCTGTGGNATATTATCTGTGGTAAGACTCCACTATAATCTGTGGTATGCAGCTCAGCGGGTTAGTGACCTGTACCTGTGTCTGTACCTGTATATTATCTATGGTAAGACTCCACTATAATCTGTCATATGCAGCTCAGCGGGTTAGTGACCTGTACCTGTGTCTATACCTGCATATTATCTGTGTTAAGACTCCATTATAATCTGTGGTATGCAGCTCAGCAGGTTAGTGACCTGTACCTGTGTCTGTACCTGTATAGTATCTGTAGTAAGACTCCACTATAAACTGTAGTATGCAGCTCAGCGGGTTAGTGACCTGTACCTTTACCTATATATTATCTGTGGTAAGACTCCACTATAAACTGTGGTATGCAGCTCAGCAGGTTAGTGACCTGTACCTGTGTCTGTACCTGCATATTATCTGTAGTAAGACTCCACTATAAACTGTAGTATGCAGCTCAGCGGGTTAGTGACCTGTACCTTTACCTATATATTATCTGTGGTAAGACTCCACTATAAACTGTAGTATGCAGCTCAGTGGGTTAGTGACCTGTACCTTTACCTATATATTATCTGTGGTAAGACTCCACTATAAACTGTAGTATGCAGCTCAGTGGGTTAGTGACCT